CACCAAACAGAGGAGCCCTTCAAACTAACAGCAGACAGGGACAGAACCAAAAAAAAAGAGAGAAAACAAAACAGCAAGCAGAACAATTCCAAAGAGCCTACTGCATTGTCCCTGCGCTGAGTCAAAACTGCATCATAAAACAAAGTCCCTGTGAAAGTCCTTGCTTTGCTCTAATGGGCAGAGCAGTAATATTTCTGTGTGTCACTGCTGCCCATTTGAAAAGCTGTTTCTTGCAGTTACATACCATGACAATTAATCTGCCAACGGTATGCTCTGTCCTATCAGTGTATGTCCACAGCTACCGTCCTCTCTACGGTATGTCATATGCAGTAAGTATTTCTGTTCTGAGGAACTCTTGAGGAGTCATTGGGCCTTATTCATCAAAATGTTTATGGAAATGAGCATATTTTGTTTTGGGGAAACATCCGTACGAAAAAGTCATGTTGAATTCAGGAAACATGGGGAAATACCAAATTTTGTTCTCACCCTCATTCATATGATGTTGAAACGTGTACATAAATTAGATGTTTGTGCATGTTTTGGTAATTAGCATATATAAACAGCTAACAATCCCATATAAGGGCAGTCTGTCTGTTTTCCGAGTCACAGGTATAGCTGATGCTCCTGAAAGGGGAAAAAAGAAAGATATTTTCTCAAATTCAGAGATGTAAGATGCAGGTGGATGCAAGGAAAAATATATATTTTGTAGTACGAGTAGTGGAGTGTCCGGAACATGGGTAAATCAATGGTTGAAATAAGCACAACTTTGGAAGGACTCCAATATCTAAATCAATTTTTCAATCAATTTTTCAGTTTGTCTTTATGTTGTCTTGTCTAACAATGAAATTTGTATCCAACAGGTAGAACGTGTGTGGGAGTAGCTTTTACTAATGTAAGCTGGGGGTAAGAGGTGCACAGCTACATGTACTGTAATTCAAACCTTGACTTCTTGACTTGACACTCATCAATTCTACAATAGTCTGAATTATAGCCCTATTCTCTAGAGTGAATCAACCACTAGGGTTCTGTCATTGCTGTTTATCTGGTGGCGAACAAATGCCATGTTTCAGGGCCATGTTGTGGAGGACACAGTGGACCAACATTATCTTGCACACCCTCTCTGATGTAAAAAAGAGTGTTGCCAGCTGTATCCAAAGACTGAGCTGTATCCCCAGCCTTTTAGTGCACTGACAGTGCACTCCATCAGCAAGTGCATGTATATGGTTTTACACAACCTCACATGGCATCTGCCAGTAGTGTCATCAGTCAGGATTTCAGTGCTATATACAAAAGAGAATAACTCTAATGAAGGTCGCTTGAGCATTTGCTAATTGCACTTCACTCTCTGCACTTGGGCACTTGACCTGTGTTACCTTATTTCTATTTGTTTATTGCAGATTAAATCATGTTTTCATGTATTTCAAATGCATGAAAGAATAATGTACCTGGGGTTCAGTTAGAGTCTTACCTGAGCTCCATTTCAAGCTCTTTTCAATTCTATCTACATTCATCATTTAAAACTAGCTCTGAACCCGGGTGACTTGTCACAACAAATTACTAATGATAATCTGAGAGTACTATTTTGGCATACCAATAGGTAGTTATTGCACGTTACAGAGAACCAGTCAAGGCCTCTGAAGAAGCCTTCAAAGGTGTCAAGGTTGAAGGTAAGGTAAGGTTTAAGGTAAATCATAAAAGGGAAATGAACAGCATTACAAATATTAATTTTGTTTGTGATGTCATTCTCTTTGTTAATTAAATTACATTTAATTTAATTGCATATGCTATAACAGCAAGAAAAGAAAATTATTACAATTTCTTCATAGATTTGTAAACACAGAGTTCTATACAGACAGAGACATCCACTCCCTTGATCTAAAAATAGATCATTGCTAGCAAGAATTATTGCTAGCACTTGTAGTAATCATGATACTGCCTACCTCATTGAACAACGTGTGTTTAGGTCATGTGTGCCTCTGTTATAACATGTAATATTTCAACCACAAACAGGACTAAAACATGTAATTGTCTTTTGATCTCATCATCCTATTGAGGAGATCATCATCCCATATCGGAGCTCTCTCTTTTTTTATAAGAGAAAACAATATGTACCAGAAAATAATAATTTTCATAATTACTGTCCTGCCCCAAGAAACAAATGACAATGACTTCCTCACCCATTTAAGTCAGTTTTTCTACCTGCACAGCACCCCAGCTCAGTGCATTTTTATATATCACTGAGGCATTATCCTTAGAATAAACTTGCTAGCTGCATCAGTATTTGAATGAGAATCGATTCAGAGCAGATGACTTTGAAGCAGGTTATGGAGAGGTGAACTGTGGAGTGCTCAGGTCTGAGGCCAGGCTCAAGAACAAATGCAGACTGTGTCCTTTGAAGTCTAGTGGTGAGGGATGAAGCTCGGGAACCACAGCAGTCATAGTGTTGTGGTGTGAATCAATTAACTTCCATCTGACACAAGCCAAATTGCTGATTTCTGTAGGACTAATAATCCACAAACATGCAAATGAAAGATCAAGTGACTTGCAGATAAAACATAGACTATATGACTTTCCTGATCTCATATAATTGGAATGTTGCACATTTTTCAGTTTTAAGCAGGTAGTGCTGAGGCTGAAGGAAGAACATTAGATACTAGAGCCCCCTGTTTCACAATTTACAGAAAGATGATACATTAAACAGTTAAGATATAAACTATAAATACACAAATTGAAGTTAGGGAAGAGGAAAGGAAATTTAAATAAGACCACCACAGCAGTTTACTTGCCTATCTTTACAAAAGAATTTCCAGGATACATTGCTTTGCATACTCTGATATTGTATTTTGCTTCAGTTCAGACAATATACGTGCACCAGGTCAGTGACTTTTTAAGGATTCAGAGGCAAACAAATATGTTCAAAGAAAAACAACACCATGTGGTGGTTATTAATCAGAAATACCACCATGTAACTTGCAGGCTGAAGCAGGACTGCTGTGCATCATTCAAGGTTTATAAAATGAACAGTTCTGACCCTGCAATCTGATTGGTCAATTTGGTATTCCATACTCGCCTTACCACTTTACATATTAATCCATAATTAAAAACAAGCTGCCATTCATTGATTCATTCATAAAGGTAGCCTGGTGTAGGACTTCTACCCATTTAAAAATATCATCATGGTTACTTCATTAACCGCATTTAACATCATAACATTCATTATGAATACAAACATGTTTCATTGCACTTATAGGTAAATTTACTCATTTGGGTCTGTTAATGTGTTGCTGGTGGCTAGCTGTGCAAGTTATTCTTTTGGTGTTTCATAAAAGTCAGTTGAATTAAGACTACTAATGTAAAGAAGCAAGGAAGTTTTTAATGTACACAATCTTGCAGATTCCTGCCAAATTACGTTAGTTGACTAGGTAGCTACTTTGGCATTCTAATGCTGACATCCAGTATGTACAAATTGTTCACAATAGAACATATATAGCTAGAAATGACATGTAAACTTAGTACTGTAATTTTTTGGTCTTATTTTAAGTAGCCAGGTAGTGTAATGTAATGTAATTGATAATCACCAGAGTAATTTCTTTGGTGTTATGAAGACAGGTTATATAAGCAAATCTTAGAGTGAATTCTTGCTCATTTCTTATATGAGATTTAAGTATGCAGTGAACTTTTGAAATTGGAATGTGGATCTGTTTTACACTCAAGGGTACACTCGGCTTTGCCTAATGCCTAACGACTGCATCACCATCATGTCAATAATCACAATAACACATGTAGTGTGTTATTGCTTCAGAATATTACACATTTCTGTTGGTTGTGATGACTCATCCCTTCTCTCCCACCACTCTCTGTAAAGCCCTTTGAAATCCAGGTAATGTGCCATAGACATAAAGGCAGTCCATTATGATTATTATTGTATTAAGGCTTTGGCAGAGGGTTTTATGGTTGGTAAAGTCCAGAGGTCATCAAAAATACTTTGTAACCTCAAACTCTTTGATGAGCTCATCCACAACATGTTTAATGGGAAGCTGCATTGTGAATGTGGCCCTACTACTCAAGTACAGGCAGCTGCATTTCAACGCCCTAGAATCTGTCTCCATATCACACCACACCAATGTCGTATTAAATCACATGAATAGAGAATTGCTTGCAGATGGACAATTTCAATATGCATTAACATTCTGATAATGGGTAGTCCTCAGCTTCAAGTGGGTGTGGCTTATAAATAAATAATTGATTATGGACCTCTTACTGATGGAAATGCCAGACTTACTCAATATTCTTGGTAATGACTTCACAGCAATCAGAGTGCCCTGGTGTAGTGTGAATTTGACTTAATGGTTATAATTCTAAACCTAACCTGCTGATGACATGCAAAAGGCAGCAGTGTAGCATAGTGATTAAGGAGCAGGACTCGTAACCAAAAGGTTACCGGTTCAATCCCCGCTGGGGACACTGCTGCTGTACCCCTGGGCAAGGTACTTAACCCACAATTGCCTCAGAAAATATCCAGCTGTATAAATGGATAACATTGTAAGGAACGGTAACCTTTGTAAGTCGCTTTGGATAAAAGTGTCTGCCAAATGAATAAATGTAAAAGTATTTTTAAATTATATGTGATATAGTGTTAGTGTTTTTTACCCTGTCTGCCACGAAGATGGCAGGGGGTATTGTAGTTGTCGTGTGTGTGTGTGTGTGTGTGTGTGTGTGTGTGTGTGTGTGTGTGTGTGTGTGTGTGTGTATGTCTGTATGCTTTTTTCAATGCAATGACTCATAAACAAATACGGCTACTGTCATGGAAATTATAACATACAAGTAGATGCATCTCATGAACACCTTTGATGAGTTTTGTCATGGAAATTTATGAGTTCCCTCACGGGAATTGCATCAAGCGTGTTTCAAGATAATATTCTTACATCGTAATCGTTTCCATATTAACTATCAATTCTCAGTTGATCTTTGTGCACAGAGCATATACATATCCAATGGGTGGCAGTGTAGCATAGTGGTAAGGTGCAGGGCTTGTAATCAAAAGGTTGCTGGTTTGATTCCGGGCTGGGCCACTGCTGCTAGACCCTTGGGTAAGGTACTTAACCCACAATTGCCTCAGTAAACATCCAGCTGTATAAATGGATAACATAAACATATGTAGGTTGCTCTGGATGAGAGCATCTGCTAAATGTGATGCATATGTAGCAATTAAAGATTGTGTGTTCTATTATCTCTCTCTCTACATATATATATGCACACACACATAAAATCAATACATGCTCAGTATTTATAGTTAATCCTAATTGTAATCTTGAATAAGGTACACCAGGTTCGCTTGGAATGCCAAGCTGACCAATCAGATTACATGGCTGGAACCGTCCGTCTTACCATTTTGTCATAGGGTAGAGCACTCGCTTGGCTAAGGGAGGTAACAGTGAGGCTCAAGAACACGGGAATCTAAAAAAAAAAAAGGCAGATGTTTATTTATGACTGGTTCAGTAGAGCCATGGAGGTGTGAAATGTGTTTCACACATTCAAAATATAAAAACAACAATTAGCAACAACAAATACTTAAAATACAGGAAAAATAAACTATACTGGAGCAGTGTCAAAACACTATACAGAGAACTCACACTAGTGAATGCAACTGTTCAAAAGGCAGAACACCTTATGTACAGCAAAGTGCATTCACCTGCCCCCCCCAACTGGCCGAAAGACACTTAGGCACACTTTAGTCCCAAAGATAATGCATGGACTCTACTACTGGAACTACTTAATTTACACATATGAGCACAACCATGGCAGTATTATGCATAAATTTTACCTCCCTTTGACTGACAAACAGTCAAAGGAACACATCCTAAACATTAAAAAACTTACAGCATATAGAGTCACCAATATTCTTACAGGATATACTACATGGAAACATTGCCATAACACAAATATTTCCCCCTCATAATACCAGCACATGTGCATTGATCTTCACAAGTGCATTCATTTCATGTAAGTTCCCTGAGAACAATATAAACCCTGGCTGCCACTCACAGTAAGTTAAACTTGGTTTTATATTAAGTAATTGATATGCACTCAACACCAATTTCTCTCCTGCATAGCAAAACTGTAAATGAAATCTTTATTCAACAAATAAACACTGCTCTCTTCAAGTAGCATATCCTGCAACTGAATACATTACATTCATTTATTACATTTGTTCATTACATTCGTGAAAAGGAGAAAACAGGAACAGTGACATTGCCACATTTAGATGCTACAAATATATATGCAAGTTACATTGTACCACTGAACGTTGAGTTCAAAAGTAATTGCACTCATAAAAAGCAGACACAGGACCTAGTTCAGTGCTAGAAGAGTTTACACATTGGTATTCAAACAGTGAGGGAAAATGGCGCTAAAACTTTCAGTCATGCCGTGAGGGCACTGGCGCTAACACACAGCATCACACAATTTTTTCCACATCTGTGTTGTGGGAATGACCTGTGTGATTACTTGCTCACTTTTAGTACAGGACAAATGAGCACTAGGTACAGTACGAGTCAAAAGTTTGGGCACACTTGATTAAGATAATGAGAAACATGTATTCAAAGACTCATTGATCTAAAGACTTATGCTTAAATGTCTGAATTTTGTTTCTTAGACGAATATAATTTAATTTAAAAAATATATTTTTGGCTACTTTGAAGGGTCTGTGTAAGATAGTATTTGATTTGTTTAACACAGCCACTGCATTTCCATTTGTGTTATTTCATAGTTTTGATTTTTTTTACTATTATTCTAAAATGTGGAAAATAGGAAAAATATGAGTAGGTGTGTCCAAACTTTTGACTGGCACTGTAGATTGATAACTAAGCTCAAAGAATATTAAGAATGAAAACTAAACCATCAAATACAGATAAAATACACAGCTTTAAGAACAATTGTGTAAATCATCCACTCATCAATGGTGCTGGATGCTCGGTGTTGGACATAGATTTACCGAATATACACCAGTCCTCCACGGATGGCACTCTGAGAAATCTGGTTGCTTCACAAAAGCATGAATGGACAAATTACTGCCCCCAGTTCAGTTAGAGATCACAAACCACAACCTGTTGCAGTGCTTTGGCAGAATAAATGCCAGGTTGCTTTTGTCTTTCCCACCCTTCAAGTCCCCTTATGTCTTAAAGTCCTACTTGGGCCTCTATTTTAAGTCACCAATGGTAAGATTATCTTCCACACTAATCTTGTGGATGCCAGTGGTCTGACAGGTTTCTATGGAGGGTGGAATTTAATAAAGGGTTTCTCTTCGCCCTTCATCTCCATTTTTATAACAAGTTGTCAGCTTTGCCCCATGTAATGAGGGTTTGCTTTGTACAAAAGAACAGGAAGATTAGGGCATCACAGGACAGGATTATAAACCAGAGACCACAAAGACAGCCAATCACTTCTTGAAAATCCCTCCACATCTTGGAGCGTTCATCTGCAATTTCCTTGTTTACCCTCTGCAGCCTCTCTTCTCTTTCACACTCTCTTTTTTTTTTTCTTCCGTCCTCCCCTTGTCACACAATGAAGAACACGTAATTGTATATGGTGTGCCTGTTCTAATAAATGTCATGGATACGGAACAGACGATAGATTTGGTTATAACTGACAGGTAAGGAACACATGAAAATAATAATGTTGCACACATCTCAGTATGTAAATTGCATGTCAGTTGGTGTAAATGATCTCTTACAACCATCTGCGTGACATGGACAGATTAACAAAATATTAAATGTCATATTGGATAGTGGAATTTGTGCATCATGTATGACGTATGCTCATATCATCTGTTCATGGTGCAAGGAAACAGTATAATTCACTGTGTGGAGCAAATAGGTTATTCCTTAGAGTTATGAAATATTCCAGTCTTGTACCCAGGAATGTTATACAGTCTCTTACTATCCTTGGGTAATGCAGCACTACAGCACCATACAAGAAAACCATTACAGGCCCGCTCATTCTTCCATGTGAAAATTATCCATGGACCATAGATAAGGTAACAGTTACATCTGCTGGAAGTAAGGCATGAGTAATTTTGTGTGTAAAACCTCATCTAAAAACTTATCTGAACAACACACCCAAGTTGATGAATACAATGGTAGTTCATATAATGATGGATTACTTTATGTAACACAGCAGCTTCTCAAAGCACTTTCCAGTGAAGGTCAGGTTGACTTGCCTCAACTAAACCATTAGCGGTGGTTCACATCAACAATTAACACAATTCCTACTACAGCCTTCCTCTTCTGCTAATGAGTGGCAGGCTAAGCTTTGCACCTTTAGAATCAATGTGATTAATAGTACTCTCACTTCAAAGCATGGGCTACAATGAAGGGCATAGTATACAAAAAGGCTGGTAGCCCTGGAGAAAAGAGAATGAAATATCCACATATACATATAGACACAATTAATCAGTCAATATATGAGAAAACATAATAAAGGAAATTCATGTACTTTTAGCTAAAATTGTATTTCAGTTCAGAGTACTGAAGCACAATTATTCCTGCATATATTATATATCACAACAACCAAATCTGACTATACCACATTCTGTTCTGCCTCACCCTTACAACTAATGCACTCCTGTCGATTGAATTCACTAATCATAATTTAAGTAGTTTGTACCAGCTATGTGTTGAAAAGCAGGTACAGGCTGACCTTGCTTTATGATGACATAATTTAGGACAATCTGTTTTTACGTCATTTAGGACAACATGTATGACACACAGTGGGCCCACAGCCAGGTGCCATCCATTCATTGGACTCCAAAATAAAAGAACTGCTATAACCACATCAAATACAACCTTGTGCACATTCACACCTTATTTATTAATGAGGAGTGACCTGGAAATGGGAGAGGAGACAAAAAAATAGGTTAACATTACAGCCAACTGTACAATATGGTGTCCTAACTGGCCTCTTATCTCCACAAACAGCAGCCTTTCATTAGCAGATAAAGCTAACCTTGTCAAAGCCCCCCCCCAGCCCCACCTATGTTTCAGTAAGACTGAATAAAAGCACAACAGGAACCTCTGTAGTTTGGGACTTTCAAGTCCTTAAGGACTCTGCTGGTAGCTACAGCACTCAGGGCAAAAATGCAGACAGGGAAAAAAATCCTCTTCCCCCAGACAGCAGGGATTTTGTGTTGACAATAATAATAGTCACAAAATGGTTGCATACTTTAAAGCAAAGTTGAATCTATTTTCACCCTTTCACCTTTTAAAACACAGTTATGGCTCCTGCTTATTGTAGAACAGAGAGGAAGACAGGGGAATATGCAGGCAGTTAAATATAACTGCAACACAAATGTCAAAACACAGTCTGGACTTTGACAGGTATTGGTGCACCATGATTGCATCATCAGAGCTTTTGATGTTCTGTCAATCCAATACCATGAGTTTGTACATTCACTGGTATGTTTTATGAACAGGATAATCATGAAAAGAGAGGTTCTAGGCATATGCCTGTCAAGCATAACCTTCATTTCAATAATGCCTTGGCTATTTTGAATAAAAAAGCAATAGTTGCTGGAATGCACTGGAAACTCAATTTCTGCATCAGTGCATTTTTGACACTATCTATAATGTATCCCAATGTACTATTCAGAGTAGCAATAGCACAGAACATGCTTGTTTTGACAAGTGGGGGAAGAAACCACAGTCACATACAAAGCCCTAACAAACAGAACATCCCTGCGAACTAATATTGCAAGGAAATAAATACTTACGTAAATAATAATAAAAACAGTCTCCCTTCCTACTCCACCCCAACCTGAAGCGCAGAGCCCATCTGAGCTGCAAAAGTCAATATCAAGGCAATTCCAACAGCGAATTAGACTGGCTGCCTGCATCTTCCTGTGCCAAAGATACAATCTGAGAGCATGCATCACAGAAAAAAAGGTCACTGACAGAACTCACCACACAAATGATAAATGTTGAATAGCAGTCTGCTCAGTCGGCTAACTCAATGCATTTTGACTCTTATTATCTTTCCTCTTCGCTTTTTCTCCTCTCTTACTGCTTGAGCAGGCAAG